GTCCAGCAGCTCAGGGTTCATAAAATGCACTTCAGTCAACCCAGATAAAGGCAAATATAAGAACAGTATACAGAAGAAAAGGAATGAGCTGTCTGAAAGAGACCTGCCATGTAATATTGACTGTAATTATTTTCAGAGTCCTAGAAAAGCCTTCCCTCACAGCTGAAGATAGTTAGTAGTATTCATATTGTAGGAGCAAGGAATAAAGTATCTGTCCCGCTTGGTTTCAAAGTCCACTTGTTTTGCCTTGCACTCGCCTAATTCATAATGCAAAGGGATCAGTGCATTATGCTGTTTAGGTCTGAGAGATAGTGACTGGCCCAAGGTCACCAGTTGGCTTCCATGCCTAAGGGAGGGCTAGAACTTGGGTCTCCCCAGTTCTAGTCCAGCACCTTAATCACTACACCATAATGGCTCTCTATGAGCAAGGAATGGAGGTTAAGAGATAATTCACGAGGAAGTTCATGACTGAGAAAACAATGAACTTTTGATTACTCTGGCTCATCCTGTTGTGGAGGTTTTTCCCTCAAAACACCCATAAGCATAATATGGAACTGAGACCAGAAAGAGCCACAGGGAATAGAGAGTAATGTGTCCCACATATGCCAGGTATGGTTATTTATTGATTTTAAAGATATAATATCACCTTCAGATTATATCATCATATCAGTTGTGTATTCATTTGAGAGCCAGTTTGGTCTTGTGGTTAAGGCTCCAGGCTAGAAACCAGAAGACTGGGCATTCTAGTTCTGTCTTAGCCATGAAAGCCAGCTGGGTAACTTTGGGCCAATCACTCTCTCTCAGCCCACAATGTCAGGCTCAGGTGACAAGCTGGTTGGTCAATTCCTGTTGCAACCAATGGATCAACTATCGATTGATCTGGAATAAAAAAATTTGCAGACCCTGCACCTGTGGGAAAAACGCTAGGAAGAAAATGGAAAAAAAAGTGGGCGGGGGGGGAGCCAGTTTTGTCTAGTGGTTAAGGCACCAGGCTAGGAACCAGGAGACTGTGAGTTCTAGTCCTGCCTTTGGCACAAAGCCAGCTAGGTTACCTTGGGCCAGTCACTCTCTTTCAGCTCTAGGAAGCAGGCAATGGCAAACCACTTCTGAAAATCTTGCCAAGAAAACTGTAGGGATTTATCCAGGCAGTCGTCAGGAGACAACATTGACTCAAAGGCACACACAAAAACAAAAACACCCTTTAAACTTAGCTTTGAGAGCCAGTTTGGTCTAGTGGTTAAGGCATCAGGCTAGAAATCAGGAGACTGGTTCTAGTTCTAGTCCTGCCTTAGGTATGAAAGCTGGCTAGGTGACTTTGGGCCAGTCACTCTCTCTCAGCCCAAGCTGGTCAGTCGATTCCTGTCATAACTAATGGATCAACATTGTTGATCTGAAAAAAGTAGACCCTGCACCTGTGGAAAAAATGCTAGGATGAAAAAAAAAATCAGCTGTGTGTCCATTCCCCCTCCAAGATAAGCAGTAGGAAGTATTGCACTCACTGCTATTATAGGAAGGAGCTTCAAATGACCTAGACACCACAACAATAGAATATAGCCAACTAATATATCAACCATCAAATAATACTTTAACCAGAAGAAACATGCTGCTTTGGATTATCTATTTAGAATATGTAGATAGGGACAGAAATCCATCCAAGAATAAACCAAACAGGCAATTTCTGAGAAATGCCTCAGGCAAGATGACTCATGTATGCAGCTGAAAAATACTTAAAGATTTAAACTCACGGAAGTGCAGCAAACAGAAAGCAGGCAATGGAGATCAGTCCCGTGACAATACCCCAGTACTCCCATGTGTTCCTGACACATTCTTCAAGAAGATGCCAAATCCAGGGTGTTCCATTCAGACACAATTTCTTAGTCTCTACTGGAGAGATATTTAAAGCATGGGGAAGCAGCTGAAGAGCCATCAGATTCAGGGATACTATTTCAAATTTGGCTCTGCTTTGAAGCCCCATACAAATCCTTTTATCAATTTTGAATATGTTCTCTCCCCTGTCCAAGCTTCCACATAGAAATGGATAATTTGTTTCCAACCTCACAGATGGGCCTGACAATTCAAAGAAAATAAAACACACCCAGCATTAATACATCAATTTAAAAAGACAATCCAAATTATTCTATTTGGACACCTATGAAAGGCAAACTCAAAGCAAGTAAAAAATTACAGACATTAACCCACAGTGCTTGAACATTTTTACAGATTAAAGTTGGACAATTTTCTATATTCATGTTTCAGTTACTGTCCCATACAAAAATGATAGAACATAAAATGATATGCATTTGTAGCTCTTAAAGCATTTACACTGGCAAAAATAGTGTTGTTCCATAGTTAATACCATTTTATAGATATATGGAAAATAGGAATATTAGCAAACAGATATACCAGAAGAACAAAGGTAAACAATTATCAGATACATTTCTGAATTTTTTATAATAATTTACTGTTTTTTACATTATAAGAATGCATGACTATTACTAATACACTTAAATGTATGGAATCAAATGACTGAGCTTTTTAAACAGATTTGCCACAGTTCTCTTGAGTCTAATTTGCTATATTTGTTCTCTATGCATATCACGTTGCATCCTTTTGACCATTATCCAAATGTTAATGGGATGGGGTGGGGGGTGGAGGGAGAAGCCTACCATTTTCCTGACAGAAAGAGTTTGCTGTTTCTTTCTTCCTCCAATCCTTCTCTCCATCTAAAATCTTTCAATATAAAACAGCACAAGGATCAAAACATCAAAACAGTTTTCAGCATAAATGGAAGCTGTTCTTTCTTCCACAACCCTGGTTTAATTTATGCAAAACTTTTTCAAGGAGTTACACCCATCGTAAATATTGTATTTAGATGGAATATCTGATATCATCATCATCATCATCATCATCATCATTATTATTATTGGAATGACATTTGTAAACTTGTTTTGGAATAATTTCCAGAGAGGTAGCTTACTGTGGCAAAAACAAATCATACTTTTAAGGTTCTTAAACTCTAAAAAAATTGTAGCATATGATTTTTTACATTATGTTTAGCTCACTTTTTGTCTTTAAGATGCTACAAAGTTCTTTCTGCTATTTATATAACTTGATTTTTTTTTAATATAAAAGAACTGATTTTTGATACACAGAAAAACATTTAATTCATGGGAAAATAACCCAGAGATATTTAGGAACAAATATGCCTTAGAATGAAGCATAAAATTAAAGCCCTTAAGATAAGTTTACATTCTGTGTTAAAAATATGGAGCCACTATCAGGCATAGGTTATATAGCTGCAATCATTAATATGGATTAAAAGCCCAGTTCTTATATCCTGTTTTTTGTCATATATTTTACCTATAAATATAAATAAGAGTGGCTAAGGGCTTTTAAAAGTAATTCTCCATTTTATGAGATTTGAATACACATCCTATGTAACTAATTTGTACTGAAAATTAAAGCTAGGATTTGAATCTAACCCCCTAGAATTGAAACCTTAAACTAATGAAATACGAAGGAAACAGCAATCTATCTTGTACTGTAACTTTCCAAAATTCACTTGTATATTCAATATTATGAAACCAGAAAAAGAATTACGACAATGACCTAGCTCAGACCTGGTTGCTGAGGAAGAAGCAATGGTGGCAGAATACCGGGGGCGGAATTACATGTAAAGCACAAGTGTAAAGAGGAAAGTGGAGGATTGTATTCCCAGCCAATTAACACAAAGTGGCTCCTAAGCTATTCACCAGTAGCTTGGGCTTGCTTACTCTCCAGGTCCCCAGGCCTATGAAAGCAGCCAGGTCTTCAAGGCTTTCTGAAGGGTGACCAGAGTTGGGACCAGCCAAAGCTCGGGCAGTAAGGTGTTCTGCAGTACAGCTATGGAAAAGGCATACCTCCTGGGTCCCACTAGATGACAGTTTGTAATAGATGGGCCGCGGGGCATGACCCTCCTGCCTGACCTAAGGGGACATGTAGAAACGATGGGAGTAAGGTGGTCCCTCAAATTCTCTGGCCCCGTGTCACGTAGGGCTTTGTAGGTAATAACCAGTACCTTGAATTGCACATGGAAGTAAACTGATAGCCAGTGCCGCTTGCACAGCAAAGGTCTAACTGTGATGGAATGGAATTATGAAGGCCAGGCTCAGGGAGAAAAACATTTTGGGCTAGGTCTGACATCAATCTTCCCAGACTGAAACCCCAGCTCCCAAGTAATGCCAGCCACAACACTGTGAATTCCTCAGGGAGGTGCCAGTCTCATCCTCTTATATTTCCCACGCTCCTCAGGAGAGGTAAGAAAATGTTTTTCTCCCTGAGCCTGGCCTTCATAATTCCATTCCATCACACTAACATGGGGAAAGCAAAGCAAACCCATAATTGCCCACACCCATCCCCATACTAGGGAACCCCA